GGAAGAAAAGATGCAGAAATATTTCAGGAAAATCAGATATGACCCAGAAAAGAACAGGTTGCTCTGTCATGTAAGATTTGGGCAGCAGATGCAGTCCTCAGAGGTTTTCCTGTGTAGATCGGAGGGACCCCGGCACATTCCTGGTTTCAGGGGGAGGAAAGCGCAGTTGCTTTGAGAATCAGGACAGTATGTAGGCTTGATTTCTGGGAATTCAGTATATACGTTGAGAATCGTGTTAGTGCCAAGCATTAGGACGGAGAGACGGGAAAGAGGAGAGTGATGACCAGAAGGAGCAAAGAAGCAGAACATGCATGTGAGGGAGAGCGCGTCAGTTAACAGGAGCGGCCAGGGCAGAGCTCCAGGTGTCTGAGGACAGTGTAACAGTTCCCACCAAGGAGAGGAAAGAGAGTGTGGGGGGCCCTGCCTGGAAGGGATTTGCACTTTTTCCTCATGGATAAAAGATGTACAATACGTGTACTGACAAAGTACCTCTCAAGGAAGGCGCGCCATCTGTCCCTTCTTTCTGGAGAACTGCAATGTTAAACATTGGGAGAAAGAAATTAAACTACATAAAACACTTGTACTAACATGTTCAACACTGTTCCAGATAAATATATCAGCGTCCCGTGGTTACTGATGGGGCTGCATGTGTAAGTGTTATCCTCCTCATAACTGGGCTTGTGATGGGCCCTGCTCTTTTATAAGCAGTGTTACAGCGATGGGAAGTAGGTCTTAAAGTGGAAGAGCAGTTGGTTTGGAATCTTAACACCGAAGTGCAGCTCTGTATGATGCAAGCTGTGTCATCGTGGGCGAGTCACTTAACCACTCTGAGCTTCAAGTTCCGACACTGAAAAAGGGTTAATCATACCCCAGAGTGTTCCCTCAGCTGGACGTGCTGTTTACAGATAAAGAGCTGTACTATTTGAGTTAAATCATACTTAAGAATTGGCTTTTGAATGAAACTCTGTTGTCCCCAAAACAAAAGGATCTTTTTAGGAAAAAACCCTACCATTATTGTGTTCCTTGATGCG